GGGGGGAGAGGGGGGGGGGGGGAGACGGTGAGGAAGAAGAATGTAAGGGAAGAAAAGAGGAAAGAGGAAGAGGGAGAAAGAAGGAGAGTGACAGAACGAAGGGACGAGGGCTTGGCGCATGCGTGCCGACGCAACAATATGGTGAATTCCGCGAAGCGGCCCAGTATCCGCCCGACCGTCAGCTGATCGATATACTTCCGCACGCACGCCACGTCAGACGCGCCGTACCGTCAGCGACACGCATGTCATGTCATGCCGTGCATCGGGCTAACCCGTTACACGCCGCGACTTCGCGCCGGCGATTCTCTCCGCGCTTGGGATCCACCGGATCCACGTCTGTCCCTCGTCCGTGACCTCGCCGTCGCCGTCGCCGTCGTAGCGACGGACGAGCAAGACGGGTTTCGACGGCGGGTTTCTTCTCGTCACCTCTCGTGGTCTGAAGGCAAGAAAAAGAACGTCCGCAGGTACGTCGAAAGAAACGTGCGCCGTCCGAGATTCTCGTGGTCGAGCGAGTCGAGTCGCTAGTCGCGAGTGTTATCTTTGCCACGGCTACATTACTCGCAATCTTCTTTCTTTTCTCGCGACACCGCCGGATGAGGTTTCATCCTCGAGCATTTTAATCATTTGGTTTCAAATTTCAGAAACATCTCTGACTAATCTAGAAAAGAATCAGGACTATGTCCTGTATGTAAGCATCAAGATATCAGGCTTGTTTTTTTTCTGTACTTTAGGAACTGAATCTCTTGCATTTATCTTTCTTCTTTTTTTACATATTGAAGAGAAAAAGATAAAAGATGAACCGTGCAAGGAATTTAGTTTTGGGAGTATGGAAAAAGAATAAGCTTTTTGTGTGCATAATTTTAAGTTGATCAAAGTAATCGAAATTTCATCATTTTATGTGCATCTATAAAAGTAGGTAGAGCATTCTCATTTCAATGTCACGATTGGTCAATTTTAGTCTTTTTGTTAAAAAATAATATAGTTTTATATCGCTTCGTTTCAAATTTTGGAAACGTTTCTAGTTAATCTAGAAAAGAATCAGAATCAGTCCTTTTATAAGCATCAAGATTTTGTGCATAATTTTAAGCTGATTAAAGTGATTCAATCACACTTATGTGGATCTTCTATAAAAATGTATAGACAAAGCATTCTCATTTTATTATTACAATTTGTCATTTATTTTTCAAAAATAATAATAATTTTTTAATCGTTAATAATATAGATAGTAGTTCCAATTTTCCTATTAAACAAATAAAAGAAAAGAAAATTAACAAAGGAAATTCGGAATTGTTTTATTGGTTTCTAATTTCATCCAAAAACGTCTTGCTCAATAATCGGCATTTTCATTGCATATCCCTGTCTCTGCTTGGCACATTCTCTGTCGATGAATTCGTCGAGATGTATAATCTTGTCGGTGTTGAGTGACGCGGTTAGCCAGTCAGCGTTTGCCGCTCACGTAAGCGACGTAATATCACGCCTTCGGTATAAACAACTGGTTTCTGTTTGTGGACGTCTTCTGGGAATACGATATATGTATGTTCCCTTATCGAGAAATCTGGCCTAAAAACTTTGAGTTTTATCACGCGTGACCTCCGTCGCAGAACAGAGAGAATCTTCTTCTAACCACGAAATTCTCATCCCACGGCGATCTCAGAGAATCGTTCATTGACTTTTTCTTTCTCTCTTCGCCTCGTTAATTATTATTGATATATAGAATTTCTGCTTTCTTTTTTCTTCATTCATATCTGTTTTTCATATGTTATCTTTCTGTCTCTTTATGTAGTTTATCTTCATATTTTATTTGTATCAGTTTGATTTATTATTGTTGTAATTACTTTCGTGATGAAATTTTACTTCGACTTTGAACTTTAGTTTTAGAACGTATGTAGACTCTAAAGATTTATAATAGATTCTAATCTAATAAATTGAGCTCCTACATTGAGCCTGTAAATTTGCTGTTATCGGAAAATTTCTTACTTTCAGGTACAAAAGAAATTTTCTAAATAAAAGCTGTGGAAAGTAATATTAAAAGCGATCATATTTGATTGTTCAAAAATCAAAACAGATTTATAAGGTTTAATTGAGATTGAAAAAGTAGTTGTAAGATTAAAATTTCAACTCGCGAAATTG